TGGGGGGGGGGGCCCCCTTGGTGCCGTCCCCCGCCGGCAGACCAGGGAGATGCTGAGCAAAGCGGCGGAGGACCCGGGCGGGACCACGGCGCTGATCTGGGAGCGCCGCGGTTTTGCCCGGGTCCTCCGCCGCTTTGCTCCCCGTCTCCCTGGTCTGCTGGCTCCTCTCCCCCCTCCCCAGCAGACCAGGGAGACGCAGAGCAGCTTTTCTCGCCCTGGAGGACGCAGGCGGCGGGACCAGGCGTCCCGCCGCTCCCGTCGTCCGGGGCGAGAAAATCCCCGTTCGTAACTGCGGATCTGACATAAGTCGGATCCGCGTAACTCGGGGACTGCCTGTATGTCTAAAAAGCCTTAGTAGCTTTGCCAAGGGAGAGAAATGATTTGGTCACATTTTATATTAAGATTCCATTTATAAATGGTTTATAAGGAGTTAATGAATGATTGATAGATGTTATAAGCATGTTACGGACCCGAGTAGTCTATACTATCGATGGTGAGAAGCACATCATTCAAAGGTCTTATAGATGGTTAAAATTTATGACTGTAGGCAACTTACTGACTGACTGAACGTTACAAGAATCTAACGTATATTAATCATTTATTATCGCTTTATGAAAAGAAGTTGAACATAAAGTGTGACTGACAGTTTCCCAGATCTAGAAATTCTGCTTTCTCTGAACTTGATTGAAAACACTTCTCAACGTTTTTCTTTTGGAGGTGCCCCCTTAGCCCTCCCCTCCTCGAAACATGCTGTAAAACCTCTATGGACCATCCTGGTATCTGTGCCACAACAACTGCTTTTCTGCATATAAAAGCTGTTAACCCTACAATTTTGGATCCAAGGCACTTTATTTTTTAAGCTTGTGTTTAACCATAAGCTAATCACCAACATAATGTAGCAGATGTCATGGGTATGAGATAGTGTCTGTTTGTGTCCATCTGTCTGTCTCTCTGAACCCAGAATGGGATTGCCTCTCATAAAACCATACAGAAAACAGACAGCATCACCAGGATTCCCACACCTTTGGCAAAGCTGGGGTGGGCCTGAAGCTCCTCCCCAGTGATTTGTACTGGGACACATAAAACCATATAGAAAAGAGACAGAATCACCAGGCCCCTCTCTGGGACTATCCCAGCCCCAGCCCTCCCACTCCCCAAGCTCTCTTTAGGGAGGATGGGGGACTGAAGTGCCCCTCTCCATTCGAATGGGGACACATAAAACCATACGAAAAAGAGAAACGATCACCAGGTGAATGAAAGGGGCTGACTGGCAGTGTGCCCCTGCCAGGTCTGCCTCCCACCCTCAGGCATACTTTAAGGCTCAACCTTCTCCCCTGCCCCCCAAGATTCGTATGGCTGTTTCCCTTTGTCAGGGAGTGAGGGGAAAGTGCACAGTTTGCTTCATTCCTCACTCTGGCTGGGGAGCGCAGGGGTGGACCTGCACCCCTCCCCTGGCTGTGCCCACCGGATATGCTATGGCCAAGGAGAGGCGCTTCTCAAGGAGTGGGTGGGGTAGTCTCCTTTCTCCAGGCAGCCTTTTAAGCCGTCTCCCTCCTCCCCCTACCCCTGAGTATTGGCTCCTGCCAGCCCCCCCACTGCTGCTGCCTCTGTGGCAGGCAGCAGGGGAAGGGGCAGGCGGTTCCACGGGAGTCGGCACAGGCGGCTCCGCACAGGCACTGGCTCCTGCCTTCTCCCCACCTTGCAGCCTCTGACACAGAAGGTGCGTGTAACCAGTATGATTAACGATGAGCCAGGCCAGGGCCAACGTTAGGAGATGGCAAGCAGGGCAACTGCCTGGTGTGACGTACCACAGGGAGCTCCGGAAACGAAATTGCTCAGGCTTCAGCTTCAGCCTGCAGTGGTGGGGCTGGGCCACTGAGGCGTCAGCTTTCTGCCCTGGGCCCCAGCAAGTCTAATGCTGGCTCAGCTTGTTGGCCCCACTAAAACCTGCTTGTGCTCCCTTCCCGGGGCGCCCCAAGGTCCCTGCATGGGAACTGCTGCTTTAAAAAGCTGCTGATGCTCCCTGGAGATCTTTGAGATGCATTCTGTTTGGAAACGATTCTGGCTCGGGGCGCCATAGTTTCACAGCGCTTAAGGCCAGGAGGGACTATTGGCTCCTTCTAGCCTGTCTTCCTGCATATCACAAAGTGTATCATTCCACCTGTAGTGAGCCTGATGACTTCACTTCAACTAAAGATTTTTAGAGGTGCCACCAAAGTGCAGGGAATTGTTGAGGTGGCCCATGTCCTCAGGATCCAAGTTTACAGCACATGCCCCATGCTGCAAGGGCAGGAGAGAAACAACAACAGATTTGCTTCCTGACAGCAAATCTGGTGAACAAGACTCTGTAGGCAGACAGAGAAGTCTCTGTGTCACCTCGCAGCACCAGGCTGCTTCTCCTTCCCCTGAGGGAGCCCTGTCCAATCAAGAGCAGCCACTAAAAAAATTGGTTAAAATATTAAATGTGATTGTTTCTAAACGCTGTGTTCCAGCTTGCTCCTCAGTGTTGTGTAAAAGTGGCAGGTGTGTGGAGAGGTAAGGGCAGTGCTTTTTCTGAGACGGTACGCCCCAGGATGGCATACCGGCATAACTCCCTGCATAACTTAAATGAATTGCATTCCCCTCGGGCGTCCCGGCATCTCTTTTCCTGGGGCGTCTGGGTTCCCGATGGAAGCCCGCTTGGGAGACGCAGCTCTTAAAGGGGCCGCAACGGCATTTTGGCCCCCCTATGGCACGGCTTTTTTTTTTCTTCTTTTTTTCTCAACGGCTTTTCCCCCGGAGTACTGGCACCTTTTTTCTTACAAAAAAAGCACTGGGTAAGGGGATCCTGTGCCTTGGCATGGCTTGCAATTGTTTATATAGCCAGGATGATACAGTGCTTTCCATGTTGGGCAGCCGTGCATCAGGTCAGGTTTACTTCCTGCTAAGAATAATATGGAAGCACATGTTCCCCA